GCTATGGGAGTTGCCCCTGGGACGTTTAGACGGCTGTCAGTGACGTTATTCCCTACGGCCAAAGGCCTAGGCTACATACCCCAAAATACTTACCTGTTAGGGCCAGACTCCTGGGCACGGGGTAGAGCTCAAGGCTTGGAATCAGAAACAGATTCCTTTAAGGGAATACGACCAAGAGCCTAGAATCATACTAGTCTTGGTCTGTCACACAGGGGCTACCGCACGTTTGTCTTGTGGTGAAGGAACTGTCTCAACAGATCCTTAGTAGCAATACCCTGCTAAGTAGGTATCCAGAGGATACATAGGGGGAGTGGTGCCCAAGGCAGAACCGGGGTTTTAAACCACTCAAAAAGAGCACGAAGTCTTGCGCGTAGCTCTTACCATACAGGATTTTTAGAAAAGTGGGCAAAGCATAACGTGCGCACTTACCAGCTATGTGGATTTTAGAAAAGTGGGCAAAGCATAACGTGCACACTTACCACTTATGTGGATTTTAGAAAAGTGGGCAAAGCATAACGTGCACACTTACCACTTATGTGGATTTTAGAAAAGTGGGCAAAGCATAACGTGCACACTTACCACTTATGTGGATTTTAGAAAAGGGGGCAAAGCATAACGTGCACTACACTTGCATACCGTTCTAGGGGTTCTCGTGGCACCCTGAAAAGGCAGCCTATAGATAAAAATAGCGTATCCCCAGACGCTATATCTACGGCTATAATGCTGGAGTGGCTAGCAGTAAATCTGTAGCTGGGGGAGAACATCCAGCTCTCAATGGAGAGGGAGCTCAACCTACAGCATGTTCCCATGGTGGAACAGCTAGCAGTTATTCAGCTGAGGGAGCAACACACTCAGCTCTCAAACCGAGACGGGGCTCGACCTGCAGCATGTTCCAAACTGGAACAGCTAGCAATAGTTTACTTAGCTGTGGGGGCAACACACCTAGTTCTCAGTCGAGAAGGGGGCTCGGCCTACAGCATGTTCCAATGCAGGAACGCTAGCAGTAGTTTACCTTGGCTGAGGGAGCACAAACCCAGCTCTCAACGAGAGGGAGCTCGACCTGCAGCATGATTGAAAAATCAGAGGGGTAAGCACACTGCAGTCTAGCCAAACTCTCATTCAGGTAACCCTTTGATAAAAGGGGAGCATTGTCTCAATACTACCACGAGGACAGCCCATGGAGCGAGGAATCTAACTCCTCAGAGAGGATTAACGCTCGAAAGAAACATCATACTCACAATAACCCTCAATGGTGAGGGGGGGTGATGCCTCAAGGGGATATCCTGGTGATCGGGAAAAACCCCTCAGGGCGACCCGGATACGGTAGACCAGTCAGGGTAGCATGAAAGCGTAAACCCCAGCCCGGACGTCCAGGAAATTTTCTGCAGTGACACCGGAGGCCTGATAATCACAAAACTCCCGCAGAAGCCTGTGTTATAGCCGCATGATCCAGGAAGTATGAAACAGAAACCTTACTTACCTTCTGGACATATCTCGACGAGTGAAATAAACACTGCAAGTCGAGCACCCGGTTTCTGAACCCAGCACGGGAAACACTGCAAAGAAACTAGCAGAAGGGTACACACAACCACCAATTCCATAGCACATACATATATTTATATACATATATTTAGACATGGATCGTACTCACCCACCACGGCTCCCGCGTTGGAGCTCTGTCCGGAAAAGCCTCTAGACCGGACCTTCAGTAAGGTGGTTACTATGATAACCATAGAACCAACCAAAACATCATAGGTCCAGAAGGAGACTGTTATGCAGGAAGCTTCCACCTGACCTCGGTCAGGTGGCGATATGGTGGTTACAGGGGAATTAGGAAGGGGAAGAAAGGGGTAGATGTTACACCCCCTGAGGAAAAGAGTGGATACCTAAGTATTACTCTGATCCGGACAAAAGCGCTGACGCCTTGTCTGGATCACATCCCTCAGGTCCTGCCTACCTCCCTTCGACCCACGATACTTCCTACCCCTACCCGCAGGCGGAGGAGGAGCGCGAGTCGCGACACTAGCCTTCTGTGCTCGTCTCTGATCCTCAAATCGAGACGGACCAGGACCCCTGGGTTGTTCGGGCTCAGACCTGGACCTTCGCGGAATGAAGGTTTTGAAGGCCGCTGAGCGCGCCTTCGCCTCCCTGAACTTTTCGACGACCGCCTCAACGGATGTACCAAAAAGTTCAGAGGGCGAAACCGGGGCATCGAGAAGAAAACCCCTTTCTTTCTTCCCGATGTCTGCCAGGTTTACCCACAGCTGCCTCTCCGTTACTACCATCGCTGCCATAGATCTGCCCATGGCAGAGGCAGCCTGCTTAGTAGCACGAAGAGCAAGATCCGTGGTGCGGCGTAACTCAGCCATCTCATCAGAAGAAAGGCCCTCGCCTTTATCCAGGTCTTTCAGCAGATCAGCCTGGTATGCTTGAAGCACCGCCATCGTGTGCAGTGAAGCAACAGCCTAACCTGCTGCTGCGTATGCCTTGCCATTCATTTTAGATGTAGCTTGAAGAGGCATGGATGGCAAGGAGGGAGTTTTGAGAGATGATGTCTCTCCCATAGAGAGATAGCTAGCTAGCGTCTCTTCTACAGGGGGCATTCTCTCATAGCCGTTTTCGCGCACCGCCTCGATATTCGCATAACTGGTATGCTGAAACCGATGGATGCGTGAGGAAAACGGCTTCTTCCATTCCTTCTCGATCTCAGTATGGAGATCAGGAAGGAAAGGAAGACTCACCTGAGCTGGAGGGTTATGGCCAGAAAGATAACGTTCGTCGAGACGACCTCGCGACGCCACTTCCTTAGTCCGCTTCCATGGCAAGTCAAGTCTTGCCGTGGCGCGACCCATAACCTCTAAGAGCTCATCATACGCAGGGCAGGAGGATTGAGAAGGCTCAGCCTCAGCTTCTCCGCTCTCATCATCCATTTCCTGCTCTTCCTGGGCTGACCCCAGCAGAGCACTGGCCCCTGGATCAGATGATGTTAAAGAGAGAACATCATCCTCCAGTGGCTGTCTCTCGCCCCCCGCCGATGAGCGCGAGAAGGAAAGCCCCTCTCTAAACTCATCGGCCAGGTCCACCTGAGATCCCCACGAGCTCATTCTCCTCCGTGCCTCAGCAGCGGAGGGTCCTGAACCGCGGGAAGCAGATGGCTGCCCCTCTTTACTTGAAAAGAGAGACAAACGAGAACGGAGTTTTTTCATTGGAAAAAACTCACAATGCACGCAGATTGCCCCCTCGAGGACATCGCGTGCGTGCTCCTCGCCCAAACAAACAACACATAGATCGTGTGTGTCATCTGGTGTCAAATAGCGCTGACACGGATGCACACACCTTCTAAATGCTCTACTAGTGCTCGCCATAATATTAATAGATAGCTCTTACTTTTTCCTTGAAAATGCACGCTTCAAACAGAACAGTCAATGAAGACGAAGAAGAGAACGATGTGTAGCTCCCGGCACCGATTTATACTGTAGTCGCACCGGTAGTGACGTCATGGCTGTCGCCGGCCAACGAGTTGGTGTTTTTTCAATATATGCTTCAGATACGAGTCACGACGAGGCGTTCCCCATAGCGACCCCTAGAGGACGCAGTTCGAAGTTCCCATGAAAGGGAACCCAAGACGATACGTCCTGTGATCCACCAAACTGAGAGCAAAATTTAGCTTTCATGAGTGAAATAAATAAGTAAATAAATAAATAAATAAATAAATAATGCTAGATTTTTTCCTACAATTAAAAATATTACAATTAATTTTACACAATACTATTCAAAAATACAAATTAAATTAATTTTAAACAGTAGGTTAAGCCTGGTGGTTGTCTAATGGAAATAAAGAAAACAGAAACTATTTTAATAATACTATTACTTATTATTTATTAAATGTAATTGTATATGACATAATACATACATATTTTAAAATAAAACAATTATTATATAATAACAATAAATTGAATATCAAATTAACAGAATAAAAAATATTAAAAATGGTAAAATCATTAAAACTATATATAATTACTATATATTATATAATCAAAGGATTACATTTAATTTACAACTAAAAATAAATATAAACACATAATATTATATATAGTATAAATATAAAGTATTATAATTTTCTAGATTACATAAATCTCTTGATCAATTTTCTCTATGCAGAAGTTTATTTTGAATGCTAGGTAAGGACTGGTGGTTGTCTGAAGTAAAATACAGAAACAAATGAGTTAGTATAAATCTGGCTCTATGGCTGACATAGTCTTTTTTAGTCCGTTGGGAGTGACAGGGATGAGTACAGGGAAAGAATTCAGTGAAACCCATGCTTATTTTAGTGTCCTGTCAGCCATAAACACACACAACCCACAACAAAGAAAAGGTCAATTCCTTTGCCAAAACGATAGTGTCTTTCCTCCGAGTCCCATCAGGGATAGAGACAAGCTTACTGCAGTGCTGTGGAAAGCAGGCCAGTATTGCTTACAACGGTATTTGTTACAACGGTGGCCTAAGGGTGGATTATGCATAACTGGCCCAAATTGCTGTGGACTTAGAGCAAGCTGGAAAGAATCAGCAAGAGATCCAACCTTTGGGCTTATGTCTGCATTTGTGTCTCTTAGTATCTGTGACCTGTAGGTTTCAGAAGCATAAGACATCGACAAATCAATTATAGAACTCTGTGACTTGAAAGTCAACATGAAAAGGCATCACAAACCCCTTTTACTTCCATAATGTGATCCAAAATGGACCATTCTACATTAATTAAGAATATAAAAAGTTATTTTATGAATTAGTTATGACTGTATTTTGGAAAAACTGAATTACCTACAAATTAGCCCAAAACAAATGACCTAAAAAGCTACTTTCCCTATCCATATTAATTATTTTAATTAAAGGTTACACAGATAAATGATGTATTATGGAAGTAAATACGGTCAGTTTTGATTTCATGTTTACTTCAAACATCACAGATCTCCTGTATCACTTCAAAGAATCAAACGCTGTACCTTCCTCTGTTGTTCTTGCCGTTCGGGACTCGCTGTCCATGCCCTGGAACTCGTTGAAGTACGGACGGACTTTGATCTCGTAGACGATGCCTTTCTTCAGAGCCGAGAGCACCATGCTCCTCTCAGAGGGGACTTTCACATCCTGATTCTGCCACGCTCCTGGGGAGGACAGCCCTAACATCTGCCTGTACAAAACCCTGTAGCCCTGGATGAATTGAGATTGCCGGTCAACCTGAGGGGGAAAGATGGTTCAAACTTAAAAAAGTACAATAGAGTGAGAAAAATAATTATTAAAAAAAGGAGAAACTCCAGCTTTGGGTGCTAGTTCCTAGCATGAGATGGTTGGTGTCCCATTAGGTGTCTTAACAAGCTTAACCAGCAATGCTTTCTTGATCAATTTACTTTTTAATTTTAGTCAGTGTGTAGTGTGAATGATTGGGCATAAATAGAGCCACAAAGTAACAAATCTCAAAGTCCACTCCATAGGGTGATATTTCGTTTTAAAAAAAATATCCCTTTTCAAGAACTACAACGAACGGCTCGTTTGGACTACAGCGTTGTTTTCCGGGTTTTTGTGATGTCACAAAGCGGCCCATAAGAATATCATTCAAATAAACCCCGCCTACAGAAATTCGAATGGTTGGGGGGTGGGGAGGGGCGAGGTCGTGGTTAGAACGCTTGGTTGAGTGAGTGCATCAGACGAGACGATGAAGTGCTGCTGCAGAGTTAGTGCATCAGAGAAAACGAAGAAGAAGAAGAGCTGCTGTAGCGTCAAGTTTTCGGCATGTCTAAAGGCGGTCGCACACCGGACGAGAAGCACAGCGTCGCGCCGCATCTAGAACAATTCTTACAACAAGTACAACACGACGTAGCTGGGCGCCGCCGGTGTGCGTACACTCATAATAAATGTTCGAATTTTAAAACGTGTGACGGAAGTGTTACACCGGTGTGCGACCGCCTTAAGAAGCGCTGTTTTTTCACCTCCGTCTTTGTGTGGGCTTCCGAAAGCAGATGATGTCAGGTAACAGTGGTTGCAATTTATTTTTAACTCCGTTCCTGAGCATTATAACCCCAATTTGCTATTGTGTGCTGCACATTTTACTGAGGACAGCTTCCACAACATGAGGGCGTACAGTGCTGGATTCGGCAAAAAGCTTTTGTTGAAAGACGGAGCAAGGGGCGTGGCAGTACTGAAACACCGTCTAAGCTGTTCGCCAATCACAACGCACTGGGACAGCTAACCAATCACAACATATTTAGTTTTTCGGAAGGCAGACCTTCATCAAACCCAGAACTAATCGAGCCATTTGTGCCAGGCTGGGGAGAAAGGTACTTTAATAATGTAAATTATGTGAAAAATAATGCGTTTTTCAAACCACCAAACATGAGAGCATGTTCTAGTACACCCCCAAAACAAAATCAAGACTTTGTAAAAGAGCATAATAGGATCCCACAGAAAAGCTGATTGATGGGCTTCTATAGATATGTGGGTCCACCAACTAGACCAGCACTAAACTAGCAGTAACCAGCTTGGACCATCATGGAAAAGTCTGAAAGTCCAAGGAATATCTCTTCTTTTTCACCTTAACTTGTATTTATATACAGTGAAACCAAAAATTATTCAGACACCAGATATAATGTTAGATACATATTTTTACTAGTGGGTGCAGGACACTATAGTTTATAAATGTAAGTGAGGACAGCAAAATAAAGTGAACTGTTACATATTATACCCACAAATTCTTCATGCAGTGGACTACTAGTGAAATTTGGGATAAAAAAATATTTAGACACTTTGACCTGACCATGTTTTGCTTAAGTGTTTATTGCTAATGCTAACTTTTTACACCACAGACTGAACAAAATTAAGCATTGCTTGGTAATTAGTTGACCTAAATTGGTATTATTTGTGTACTTAAATTTAACAGCTCAATAATTTTTGGTTGATTGTAATCCATTACATACCTTTCTATCAAAGTTATCTGACATTATCAAGATAAATTTGTTCTGATACACTTTAACTCTGAGGTCCTTGTCATATGTTATTACCATTTTCTAAACTATAGCGAATAAACTGTGATATAATGTGAGAAAAGTTGAAGGTGTCCGAATATATTTTAGTTTGACTGTATAACAACATGTTCAGCCAATCAAATCCCTTTGATATAAATGCTCTACATGAGCCACGCATATGTACGACCTTGATAAACTGTAAATAAAACGTCAATAACAGCAATCATGCAAGATGTAACCCCCTCGAACAAACATGCTGTGAAAAAAACTCAGTTGTGAAGAATAAACATATATGTACAAGTATACACATACGTGCACATAAAAATCAACAAAGAACGTGTCGACAACGATCAAAGAAGAAACACAATCTCAAATCAACAAAAAGGTAAACAAGACTCTTCATTCGCTTAAAGCCTCGTTCTTAGTTAGTTTGGCGAATAAAAGTTGTATTTACAGAGAGAAGGAGTCTGCATAACTCACATTAATGTCTTCCTAACAGCACAGTCTGGCTTTCGGAGTGAGATATTAAACATCTGCTTTTCCTCCCTACACATGGAGTAAATCAGCCCAATGGGCATCCTTCCTACGCTTTTTAACTTTCATTAATTGAATGATTCAGGGTCGTAAAAGCTTTCTTGACACCACCTATGTTTACCGCGAGAGTGCTGCTGTATTCAGGGGCCATGTAGGCTGGTGATTTATGGATTATTCATATGAGAAAAATACCTCTGAAACAGTCTATCCCCCATTTAGGCCGAACCGACAGACACTTATATTTGTCTCTGTAATTATTGCTGATGGCAATCATTAATATACCACAGGAGAGTGCTTACAAACTAATGTGACAAACCCAAAGCTTTAAAATATCTATTTTAATGCAATTCAACAAACAATAAACACTTTTAGAGTGTTTATATCAATGCTGGAAGACTGCAGTGGGAAATAGAAACAACAACCAAGATGAGTAACAGAGTTAACGTTTGAACTGATGCACTTGTTTGGATCTCAAATATTATACATGTACATAATGTCTATGTTCAAATAACATAGAGCCAATAATCCATGGCAAATAACATAATTCTGTACAGAGCCAAAATAATCAAAATAGTATGCTATAAAATAGCTTGTGTCATTTTTAAAATTTCAAAATGACTGTCATTATTCTGTGGAACACGCCCCCTCAAAAAAAGTGGATGAATGGAGTTAGGTTAGGTGAGGTGAGGTGAGGTGAGGTGAGGTGAGGTGAGGTGAGGTGAGGTGAGTTAAGTTAAGTTAAGTTAATTTATGTCCATATAATGAAAGTCAATGGGGTCCAATGATGTTTAGGACCATTGTATAGACAAAAACATTCCTCAAAATATAATATTTTGTAGTCTACATAATAAAGAGCAGTTTGGAAAAACATGAGGTTGAATAAATGATGACAAGATCTTCATATCTGGCTGATCCTTAGTCCAATCACAGTTCACATGCTAAAACCTCAGTCCAGCCATGGTACCTGTACAATAACCTCTGTCCAATAGCAAGTTATGTTCATATGTCAAAACTTCTGTCCAATCTTAGCTCACAATTCACAGACTACAACATCTCTCCAAACACAGTTAATCTTTAGCTTTGTCCAATCACAGAGAGCCTTACCGTCCATGTGACCTGTATGGTGGTGGGGCTGAGGACCACAGGGTTGTGTAGCCGCACAATAACCTCACCCAACTCCTTCTGCACGTGTCTGTGATCCACTCCCTGAGCTGGAGGACTTATATCTGTAAATAGAGAGACAGAGGCCAATGCCATTACCTCTTATAGTGCTCTGACAATGCTAAATTACTGGCTGGTACAACATAATCCCTTAAATACAATTTAATCCCCTAAAAGAGCAATGAGGAGTCGTTTTCACTGACTCCAGCCGCAGACAGCACAGCTTCAACCCAACCTGTGAGGTTACATCCGCCCAAGGTCTCAGAATCAGTCACCCCTAATGAACAAATGGAGGACTCCATGGCACCTTAATCGAATCTTTTTCCACTCGACGTTGGTCCTTTTTTTCTCCTCGTAATGATCATTAAGGTACCAGCCAGACCACTAACTCAATTATACACTCCAAAAGTAGATGATGTTTGTTCTACGTTATACTCCGTCTCTGGAACTAATGAGCGTATGGGACCGTTAGACCATGTGGTATCTAGACTAGATCTCGTCCTCTGTGAGCAACAGCTAGAATTTAATTGGAAGTCTTTGACACGGGCACTGTTCATATGGGTTTCTTGCCAAAAGGAACTTTATACACAATTACAGCTAGAGTAATTCTAATCTCTATCAAATACCTTGAGTGCGGACGGGTTCGGACATGGGGCTCGGGTCACTCAGGCCTTGGACGTTGACTGCTCGCACCATGAACAGGTAGATGGTGTTGGGGCGAAGACCCTTAATGGTGTACTGGGTGGTCTTGACATGATCGGCTACAGTCTGCCAGCTGTTGCTCACCGATTGGCTGGATGCAAATGAGGCAGAGTGATGTCAGAGTTTGAAATGTCTTCATACACTTTAGTCAGAATGGATGCCATATATGCTTGAGGTTCTATGTCACAACATATTTTTCGAGGATTTTGTATGTTAGAAATGTGTATAAAGACGTATGTCCAATGTTTTGTCATCTGAATGTACAATATATTAAACAGACTGGACATCTCAAATCCTCATTGGTGTAAAATGAAAAATATTATCTACTTTGTTTAAACTTTCTGACTGAGCACTTGACAGGAAAATTAACACATTTAAGGTACAACTTCAGAAAAGGAACTTAAAGGCTAAATAAACTAAACTACTACAAAATTCACACCTGAAAGCCTCAATAACATATGATGAGATGGGTGACGCTCCAGGAAGGCCAGGCTGCCAGGACAACGACACGCTGTTTTTAGTGACGTCTGTGACCTGAGGTTTGGATGGAGGACCTGGGAGCTCGTTCTCATCCCGGTCTTTAACTACAACAAGACTTCCAGACTCTAAAAAGAAAAAAAACATAAGATTATTGAGAAGTTCTGGAACTGTTTCTGGAAGAATAACATTACTTAAAAAGCACATCCACTTTTAAAAATAAAGGTTCTTGTCTATGGTTCCATGAAGAATCTTTAAAGCGGTCATATGATGGGATTTCAATTTTTCCTTTCTCTTTGGAGTGTTACAAGCTCTTGGTGCATAAAGAAGTTGCAAAGACTAAAGTCTCAAATCCAAAGAGATATTCTTTATAAAAGTTTAGAGTCAGCCACACCTACCTAAAACGGCTCGTTCTAACACGCCCCCACATGTCTACGTCGCTATGTGGGATGATTTGCAGAAAGCCGCCCAAATGTTCACGCAAAGAAAGAAGGCGGAACTTTTATTCTCGCTGTAGTTTTGTTGTTTCCGCCGTTATGTCGTAAAGATGCTGTGTGCTTCGTTGTGAAAGCGAAACTACTTTGTTTGGTCTTCCAAAAGAGGACGATATCTGCTTCGTCATGCCTGGAGCTGATCCGTGCCGGTTGCTGAGGAAATACTACAACTTTGCGCTGTCGATCGCCAGATCGGCTTTCACCGTGGATGAAGCGGAGTCCAGCCCGGAGTCGTCACATGTCCTTCCGGACGCTCCTTCGTCGAAATCGCCGGCCACGTCGTTCTCAAGCCCACCCGCCTCTGCTCACTCCAACCCTCCCGCCGTTCCTCACGCTAGCCCCCGGCCTCTGCTCACTGTAGGCTGCCGCCTATGGAATCTTCTCATTGCACAAAAGGTTCTTCAAAGTGGAAACAGGTTCTTCAGAGGGTTCTTTTATAAACTATTCACTAAAAAAGTTCTTTGGGGATCCCAAAATGGTTCTTCTATGGCATTACTACAAAAACTTTTTGAACATGAAAGTTCTTTATTGGCATCAATGGTTCCATGAAGAACCTTTAACATCCATGGAAACATTTCATAGCACAAAAGTTTTTTTTTTTTACACTGGGCAAAGGTTCTTCAGATTATTAAAATATTTTTCACACTAGGAAAACAAAAATTATTCTTTTAAGAACTGTTCACTCTAAGGTTATTTGGGGACCTCAAAATGGTTCTTCTAAGGCATTCCTGCAAAACCCCCCTTTTAAAACCTTTATTTTTAAGAGTGTCTTTTGTAAAGATGCACATAAGTACCTTTGACTTCCAAGAAAGCACTCCAAGATGTTTCCCCACTAGAACTTGCTGCCACACAAGTATAGATACCAGAATCAGAGAGCTGAAAAACAGAAAAAAGCATGCATTGATCTTTATATCTTCAAGCACTGTGAATTCACTAAACGGCTAATCAAATCGACTCATGGTAAGTCCAAGCTTTCGATCTGAGAGATGTAACCTCGGGCACGTCCAGTTCAGCTAAAGCGCTGACACTAATATGGCAGATATATTCTATTTTCCGCACCCTTCAGCCAGCTTTCATCCTTGCTTGCAAATTTACAAACCCACCCACTAACCGCAACAAGAGTTAGGCTAATTCATTTAAAGGGGTAGTCGCTGAAACCCTCTGGACCGTTGACAGCTGGCGCATGTTCCCCCCTCTCTACTTTTCCGGGACGATCTCCTTGTTGTTTGTTGCCTTTCATCAGGGTGCCTCGCCTCCATTTATTAGATAAAATGTCAGAGGTGGGCAGCACTGTCAGGCATAATGGCTATTCCATCCCGAGCTGACGGGGAGGGCTTGGGGACTTTAAATTCAATATGGTCCTAAAAGTGTGTTTGTTTGTGTGCGCGTGTGCAAATATGTGTGCAGCTGGAGCCCGTCCAGGCTTCCGTAAATGATTCTAGGGAGAGCTGTCATATCCCTAAGTGATAGTATCAAACAATTTACCAAAATCAATATTTCCCATTCATCCCCATAATGCAATATGATTCCCTCTGCCCGTCTCTGTTATGTTTTACCGATATCTGATTGAATTCTGCTAAGCTTATACATCACACTTAGATGAAGACGTTTCTGACAGCTGGTAGTCACACAAACGCACACATATGGCCTTAGAAATACACAATGACAGATACACATCTGGGCATTCATATTAGGGATATATTGGTAGCTATATCAGTGTTGGCTAATATAAAAACTGGTCCAATTTGGTCAGTATTGAAAGATAATGTTCTTTTTTTTCTTTAAATAAAGTCAAACAGGATCTTTTTTTTCTATGCCAAATTTGTTAAATAAATAAATAAATAAATACAGTTAAAAAATATATATTACTATTATTGTAAATATTAATTCATTTATTTGTATTACATTTTTCATCTGGGTGCATCCCAAATTCATACTCTCATAACAAAAAGGGGGTGCGGGGGGGGGGGGGGAAAAAAGGAAAAAAAAAAAAAAAAAAAAAAGGCATATAATACCAGCCTCTGTAAAGCCAAAACAATACCAATAGACAGATCTTTCCACAGTTTATTAAAAACACAAGATTTACATGACCAGAGTAACCGCTCCACTAGAAACCACAGTCTGCTCACTAGAGACATCCTTGATACGAGTGGCTCTCCCTGAAAAAGAAGTGTTAGAAGTGTGAATGCACTTACATAATAAAAAGGATAATAAATAAATAAAAGTGTTAAGACTCACCCGCAAACCCTTGATCTGCAGGCTGCCAAGGTCCTGCAGGGACATGCGAGGGTCTTTGCCCAGCAGGCTGACCCCATCCTTCAGCCAGCTGATGGTTGGAACCGGTTCTCCAGATGCATGGCATCTCAGAAGAGCCACACTGTCTACACCCAGAGTCTGGTTAGCTGGACCCTGCCGGATGATGGGGGGAGGACGATCGGTCAGCACTAAATGAGAAAGAGAGAGAGGAAAGAACAAGAATTATACCAATATGTAGTTCCTACTGTTTTAGAAAGGAGGCATCCCAATTTGTATACTTTGCTGTTGATGTACTGAATAAAATAAAATAAAATAAAATAAAATAAAATAAAATAAAATAAAATAAAATAAAATAAAATAAAATAAAATAAAATTCTTATTTTTGTAAAATGTACACATTCTTACTAGATTTACTTTAAAATTTCTTAAGGTATTACTTTTTTTTTGTTGAAAAATGTACCTTTATTTTTTTTATTAATTAATTTATTTTTGGTCGAATGATCACCTGTTTTTTATATATTTGTGTTAAAAATACAAAATACGGCATAGACAAACGAACAAACAAATAAATAAATAAATAAATAAATACTGTATGTCATTAAAAGTGTAGAAGTATATTATTAAAACTTAATTTTTTTAAATTATTAAAAATATGAATGAAAAAAATGTATATACAATAAAATGATTTAAAAAATAAGGAATTATACATGTAATAAAAAAGTATATGCAATAAATTATGTAAAATAAAAGAAAAGAAAAGAATAACAATAAAATAAATTTTATTACTTTATTTCTATTTTACTAGATTTACTTAAATATTTCTTTAGGTATTATTTTTTTTTAATGCACCTTTATTTTTATTTTATTATTTTTTTAAGCATGCATCTAACAATTTTTTTATTGTCATCATCAAGCTAAATTAATTTCCTTGAATGCAAATACTGCATTTCACGTTCATAATATAAAAAAAACTTCAGTTTCAGCTTCACATTTATCAACCTTTTCAACTAAAATAATCAAAAGAGAACTGTCACAAGCACTTCTTCCGCTGCATAAGAGATTGTATGAAATATTAGTGTGAATACACACTATAAAAAGTATACACACTACAAAAAGTATACCACCAACTTTAAGCGTACTTTGATTTGAGACACCTCTCTATTTTCTGTTGTATTGCACAGACTATTTATCGGATAGCATACAAACAGGGCAAGAGACAGCAGAGAGGAGACAGGAAATAATTAGGTGAGAAAGTGTCCGGAACACAACATAGGCCAGATCTGAAACATTTCCTGTGTGAGTGCAGTGACTCAACATATCTGGAGCCCATGTGCTAATAACTAGGCCTTGGCTCCTACTGAAATGGAAATGCTGAAGATTGCCAGCAATTAGCATGCTTGTCCATCTAAACTAATGTATTCTCCACAGATTATGACATCATGACACTTACAGGCCTTCTTACATCATTTGTTGCTTTAGCACAGGACAGCGAACATGTTCGTCATTAAAAGTGTCTTTTAGTGTGGCACAGGAAGCAGTTTGAAGCCATGACTGCCTTATTCCTGGATGTATCGGGGTTATATGCACATTTTGTGGTCGCACCACAGGGCAGCATCTACCCCCCAAGCATTCTGGGAAAAACTGGGAGAAACGCTGAGTCTTGGTTTCTAGCTCACTGATGTGGCAGCGAGGTGGTTTTGTAACTTCCAGTTAGTGCCTGAGATCCTTCATTTAGGAACCAGACTCTGAGTAAAATTGCATGCATTACTATATATCTGACTATCAGAGGCAGTGTGGTCGCTTAAATATCTTACGCTGTTTAAGAGAACGTCCCCTCATAAACTGCTTCTCCAAACATGAACCCACCATCCTAGAGAGCACAGACGGTTTCTTTTTTTGTTTTGCAACGTTTATAATGATGGGTGTTCATGAAAAGATTTCCATCCATTTTCATCTCATTGTGTAGACACTTTTTTTACTGCTTACAGTAGAGGGAAATCTGTGGAATTTCATAGAGCAAATATAATTATGGCAAAATTGTAAGTAAAAACACTGCGTTGTTATTGGCAACAAAAGGTGTTATCAAATCATGTGGAATGACTAAATGAATAATATTATTAAAAGTATAGAAATACTGTATATTATTAAAACTAAATGTTTTAAATTATTAAAAACATAAATAAATAAAATGTATATAAAATAATAAAAATGTAAGGAGTTAAAATTGCAATAAACAGTATATTAAATTTTTTTTACGTGGGATTGATTGCATAGCCCTATTGATGTTCACATTCATTCATTTATATAGCGCTTTATCCAATAAAGACTGTTACTAAAGCAGCTTCACAGTTATAAACAAGAAAATAAGAGTATTAAGTTCTTCAATTATGAAACAAATACAATTTATGTAGCTCTAAAAAGACAACAGTGTCATTATTCAGCTCAGTTTAGTTCAATGTTGATTCAGATTAGTTCAATAACAGTGTGAATGTTGCAAAGTGTCCTAAGTTTAACTATAAAACATCTAGATAATACAGAACATGTATGTCATTATTCAGCTTAAAGCAATTCAGTGTTGATTCAGTTTAGTCAAAGTTAAACAAGCTTTATTCAGCTGTAAGTGGCTTTAAAAGTGGCAACAGTGTCATTATTCAGCTCGAGTTGTGTTGATTCAATTCAGTTCATCATTTATGACACAAATACGATTCAGCTATAAAGCAGCAACAATTGACTTACAAATGGGCATCAAATGCCCCTTTAGAAGCACCAACCATTTCTTTCTCTGACTAATAATAATACAATAATCACAGCCGTGTCCTGTCCCCTGCCCCTCTGAGGACACATTAATTAGCAGGTGTGAATTAATGAGCAAAAAGCCGGTGGGTGCTAATTACAGACTGCACCTCTAACCCTTAAATACAACTTCAGATGCAGTCTTCTTCCATTCTCGTCTGCGTTACTATTTGTCTCGCTCTGAATAAAGGATGGTATTTATATTGTCCAAATCTCCATCGGAATGCCTCATTTAGGCTCAGGGATGAAGAGTTGCCATCCTAATTCATCAATGTGGATTACTCCGCGCCGAGGTTAAACCCCAGTGTGCTTTGCTGGTGCATCCATCAGGCTGACATAAACCCCAGAGATGCATGTGCGGATAGATAGAGACTGATGAGGCATAATGGCTGTATTTGGATTAAAGCTGCATCCTCTGTACTGAATGAATCTTTAGTGTTGCACTGTTGCATTTGAACTTGACTAGACTGCAGTTGTTTCAAATCGACCCAAACTCATCCCTGCTGAAAGGACAGGTTTCATATAGGGGTGTTTCCAAGAGTTTTCATAGATTCCATGGAAAATTGAGGGGGACAAAAAAGAGAAGTTAACAGAAATGTTATAGGCTCTTCTTTTCAGCGCCTCTTTTTTTGCAAAACCTTGTATTACATTTTCAAATAAGCTGCAGAATAAAAAAGTATTTTGTTTTTAGCAGTTTTAATCAAATATTCTAAAATAATTTATTCTAAAATTCTAAAATAAATAAATAAACAAAACAAAATCCATATATGACAAAATAAATAAGGAAATAAATGTTTTTCTTGCAAAACTTTTAGAGAGGAAATTTAAATGTCTTCATATTTACAAGGGTTTTGATAAGCAAGCAAACAAACAAACAAACAAACAAACAAACAAATAAATAAATATTTTCCTACCAAAACATTTTAGAAAGTAAATTTAAAGGATTTGTATTTGTATTTACAAGGATTTTACACTAAATAAATAAATAAATACATTATTTTACAATATTTAAAAAAATATATTATTTTTATTATTTTAATTTGATATCAAGATGATATGTATGTGTATATATACATGTTATATATATATATATATACACATATACATGTGTGTGTGACCCTCGACCACAAAACCAGTCTTAAGTGTCAATTTTTCAAAATTGAGATTTATACATCATCTGAAAGCTGAATAAATATATAAGCTTTCCATTGATGTATGGTTTGTTATGATATTACAATATTTGGCCGAGATACAACTATTTGAAAATCTGCAATCTGAGGGTGCAAATAAAAATCTAAATATTGAGAAAATCGCCTTTAAAGTTGTTCAAATGAAGTTCTTAACAACGCATATTAATAATCAAAAAGGAAGTTTTGATATATTTACAGTAGGAAATTTACAAAATATCTTCATGGAACATGATCTTTACTTAATATCCTAATGATTTTTGGCATAAAAGAAAAATCGATAATTTTGACCCATACAATGTCCATATAAATGTGAGTAACTAAGTAGTTAACTAAATACATTTGTCTGCTAACTGACTTGTTAACTGAAAATGACTTTCTTCCTTTTGCAGTGTCTGCTAAGATCAGGTGTTATGGTTTGTGTGTGAGTGTAATAAGACTAAGTCATATGATGTGTGTGTTGGCGTGACATGATGGAGGGCTGTTCCTCTGACGGGACGGTTTCGGACAGCATGAAGGCCTTGGTGCCGTCTGGCAGCAACCATTTTTCATCAAATCTCTCCTTGAACCTGTCCAGCTCTCTCTGCCACCTCAACAGCCACTAAATCACACTCTTCCTCCAGCGCAGGTGTGGCCGTGACCCTCTTCCTCTTTCGTTCCTGTCATCCCTCTTTGCTGTCATCCTCCACAACATCTCGCAAACATACTCCTTTCTGAGAAAAAGCCGTTTACAGCAGTCTAGGTCAAATGCAGTTTCTAAGACAAGATCGCTTAATTTATATGCTTTGCAGTCAACCGTAACAGCCGTCACCTTTTAAAAGAATGACATTTTATAGTTAGACTGAAGATGTAGTTGAAAAGTTGACTTCTTGCTACTTTTTCCTTTTAAAAAAAATCTCTCTTACACAACCCAAAACACGCTTTGCTGCCAAAGCAATTTTTCCATCATCAGTATCTGAAGTTTTCAAGGACGGCAGTTTTCACTCCCTTCTCGAGCTGAAATGAAGTTTTCTTCCTGTCAAGAGAAGTTCACAGAGACGTGCTCCTGTAATGTTCAAACGCGAGCAGAATTCAGGGTCGTCAGGATTGCTATTCACTTCACATAGCGAGGCAGAATCAATGCATTGCAGGAGAGCTCAAGGCCACATTCCAATTCAGCTCTGAATGTGGATCCAGCGGCAACAGAAGTGGTTTTCATATGACATTTATCTTTCTGTCAGTACTTTTGTATGAGGATATTGAGGCCTTCGTTTGTGTCAGGTGTGAAAAGTGTAGGCTAACATATGAATGAGGGGAAATGAAAGAGTGGTGAAAAGAGAATGACAGCGAGTGATAGAGTGCGAAATATTGAAAATAGAGGCTTAACAAAAGTCAGCTCATGTAAAAATATAAATAAAAAATGAAATATTTAATTCTAATAATTACTTATAATTATAATTATTTTAATAATGATAATAATCAATAATTTTTCATTTATAATTATTATAATTGAATCAATCACAGTATTTTACAATTTCTGCATAATGCATAATGTAATATTTTATATTTTGTAACAAATGTAATAATAAAAACACAATTTTATATATATTATTTTTTTTTTTTGCAGAATGTAAATTTGTCTTTATATCTACTAGTGCTCTGCACAATAAAAATAAATAAATAAAATCCATATAAATGTGAGTAAATGACTACTAATGAACTAAATAAATTAATAAATATTTTTTGCAAAACTTTTCAGAAAGTAAATTTGTCTTTATATCGAAGTGCTCCACAAAATAAAAAAGAAATGAAAAAAATTCATATAAATGTGAGTAACTAAGTAGTTAACTAAATAAATGTGTCTGCTAACTGACTTGTTAACTGAAAAAAATGCAGTGACTTTCTTCCTTTCTTCCATTATTTTAATAATGATAATAATCAATAATTTTTCATTTATAATTATTATAATTGAATCAATCACAGTATTTTACAATTTCTGCGTAATGCATAATGTAATATTTTATATTTTGTAACAAATGTAATAATAAAAACACAATTTGTAAAATTATAAAACATATTATAAAATATAAAATAAAATACAATTTAATTATTAATTATATATGACCCTGAACCACAAAACCAGTAATAAGGGTAAATTTGTTAAAACTGAGATTCATACACCATCTGAAAGCTGAATAAATAAGCTTTCCATTGATGTATGGTTTGTAAGGACAATATTTGTCAGAGATACAACTATTTGAAAATCTGGAATCTGAGGGTGCATAAAAATCTAAATATTGGGAAAATTGCCTTTAAAGTTTAGTTTAAGTTAACTAAGTTTATTAAAGTATAAATTTACTGTAGGATATTTATTGTTGTTATAATCAAAATATTGTTAATATCCTAATGATTTTTGGCATAAAGGAAAAATCGATCATTTTGACCCATACTATTGCTACAAATATACCTTAGGTAAGAATCCATCCACATTCCCAAAGCCCTGTTGTGGTCCGATCCACCCCAGTGCTTACCGTCTGTGACCTCAAGCTGTGCTTTGGCCAGGATGCTGCCCGCCACCGTCAGGGCCTGGCAGATATAGTATCCCGCGTCTGCCCGCTGGACCGCCGTGATGGTCAAATCTCCACTGGGCGACACCGAGAAACGACTGTTGGGCTGCTGCGGTTGATTTGGAAACAGGAGGTTCTACACAAACAAAGAAAAGTGAACAGACAAGAAAAGTGTAAAGAGCATTCCCAGGGAAAATTCGCTACCTGAAACCCACCCCCCATAGTTTTTAGAATATAAACACATCAGGAAAGACATTTTTGCATTAGAGGGGGTAAATTAATATCCGTTTTATCAGCTATTAAAATTCGGAAAGCAATTGCAGTGGCGTGACTTTAAATTGCGCAACACAATGGCTCACCGCAAATAAAGCTTTTGCTAACCAGTATGCTAACCCTGACTATGTATCTCTCTCACTGTGTGCATCCATTGTGTCCAAATGACTCCAGTAATTGCTTTGGGCTGCGTTGTTTACTCACTCTGTCTAACATGGCTGTTGTATTTGAAATTAAATCTGCTGGAAAGGGAGGAGGCCAGGTGATTCGAAACTAATTCACCACCAGCAGCCAGTTTAGTCCGTTCGCTAATTACGGCAGATAACAAGCTGGGTTCATTAATGGCCGCCATTGACCGAGCCCTTACATTTACCGCAGATTTTATGTCCTTGAGATCTCTCAACTCTTCCTTTTATTTTCTCTCTCTCTCTTTTGATTTCTGAGTCCTCATAGCTGACCGTCAGAAACCAAAAGACATTAGCCGGATTCAATTACACCTAATGACTTTAATGCTCCAAATTATGCTCCAAATGATGTTTTTTTCTTTCTTTCTTTCGCTCTTTTTTTTTAATTAGCCTCTCACACATGATAGATGTTGGGTCCATTATCCTCAAGTGTGACTGAGAGGCTTCTCTCAGCGCTAATGACTCAATAACCACTTTAATTTTGCCTTTTAACAAATACCGTCATATCTAACTTAAGAGAGGAATGGTAGGACAAAAAATGTAATGGAAAGTGTTATATTGCATTTAATATTGGCATTAAGATTCAAATGCTCTGTTATTTCTCATTTTCTATTACTTTTCTAGGATTTTATTTACTAGCGTGCCATGCTAAAGCTCACTGCTACAATGCTAACATGGGTGGTTGCTAGTTTTGCTATTACTAAGGTCTATTGGGTGGATGCTAGGTGACCCCATCCCTAAATATAGCTTGTATCCCTTCTTAAATATAAGTCTAAGGGATTTGTTCACCCATTTTATTGTCAACATTCCTGAAGCATGTATGCTAACCACTAGCCTAAAGCTTTGACAAAAACAAAGAGAGAAAGTTGTGCTCTTACCTGACTTCCTTCCTTCTGCCAGAAGACCGCCGGCTGTGGGTTTCCTTTGGTCTCACAGGGGAAACTGGCGGTCCGTCCCTGTGCCACAATCTGATCCCGCGGCCGGATCACGAACTGCGGTGCGGCTGAGTCAAGAACCAAAGACATTAACATTACACCATACCCTTTGACGCAAACACATAGCGACACATAAACGCTGATCACTGGCAGTCAGTGGGAACATCAGGCATCCACAGGCATTGACTGCCGAGGTCACTGAGACAGAGCTTCCATGCATCAGCCCGTTTCCGACACCAATCGGCCTTTTGGATTCTCTGTTTGCTTTGACCACAAACAGCAAGTACAGCGACAGCAACCACAGGAAGCCATTCATCCAGGTGGAGCCGCGGATGGCGGTACCGAATGAATGACGGCAGCTTTCAGGCACAGCCGTGCTGCGGTCACAACACCAGAGGGAGGGGTGGGTCATTCCGGTCAGGACACACGGAGAGGAGAAGCTAAGTGTGGACACCACACCGTGAACTTGAGTGGACAGTTCTTTTGTAAGTGGATTTAAATGCTCGGCTCTATTGACTCTAGGTACAAAAAACAGTTTCTATTCCTGTATCGAAGACAAGCAGAGGTCACAAGCTGGACCAGCTTGGAAAACATTGAATTGCTGTTGGCATTTTAATGGACATCATTCTCTATTCTAACTGCCAACTTGGGTCAAGTTCTCACAGAACGAGATCTTTTTGCCTGCCTTCTGCATCACACTTAGCAAAGTATTTTAACCTCTCAACTCACCCGGCACAGAAACTCAGCCAACATTCCTGCAGAGCACATTCAAATAAACCAATTAAAAGTACCATCTTTCCTGCTTTCCCTGTCTAACCTGACCTTAAAATGGCATCAGAATTCAGAAACAGGGATCCAAACTTCCCCCTTGACATGGAGTCAATGCTACTTTCTCCTTAATGAGAAGGTTAGGGCAGCAATCGTCCAAAAAAGGTTTGTCAGAGTCTTGAAAAGCAGGGAATGGCAGCTGGAGCTTGTGAGAAGATAAACTGCTATTGCAGACGGTACATCACACTGGAGAACGTACAGTTAGGGATTTTCAAGGATGGCGCAAAGGTCTTTATATGGAGGAATAAATGTTTTAGCTGACCTAAATAAAATAACAATTTGCTTCTGCCAGCAACTCTGGACGGCGACCCTACAATCAATAATTTTTAACCAAACAAAAGTAAACACAGAATGTACTACTGTTAAAAACTCAGATTCAGTCATGAGGTTCACAAGAAATCACAAATTCAGGCCAAAAACAACAACTAGCACGTAATTTGAACATTCTGACGCTGTGTTAGTTTTATACTTGTAGCCACAACAATAAATCTCGATGCAGGACTCCAAACAGTTGCGTTCGTTTAGCAAGGGAACCATTACTCACGGTACACCCATCTACAAAAGAAAAGGTCTGACTGCGGAAAAACACTCTCCCCCTCTATTTTGATCCCTAAATGAGCCCCTCTACTGTCTGTGCAGCTGGCAACTGTGGACAAGAGAAGTCTGCAAGTGTTTGTGATTTATGTGGCTGATCCCTTTTTTGTGAGGCTGTACTTGACTAAGGCTGACACATTCAGGCAAGTTACAGATGGTGGCAGATTTACAGGCTTCCCAAACTGGGCGCACGATGGCGTGGGCACTTCTGTGAGTTTGGGAATAACACAAAGGCTTTAAATCACAGATTGGCCCGTTTTTTTTTGCACTGGAGCGAGCAGGCATAAAAGATGGGCATTTACCCATGCCACTCACTCAAAGTGATTGTTTAATGACTTGGACGCTCAACTTCATTGTGCAGTTGAGTGTTAAAGCCCTTTTTGGCCATGAGGGGTGGAAAACACATACACACACATCCCAATTCTATCTGCTCCAGAGAGGATTCTAAAGAGTAGAACAAAGCTAGTCATAAATAAACTGTGATTTCATCCCTGGTACATTCTTTAATGCATGTGTGTTGTGTGAATAACACACATGCTGGCCTCTTTTCATTGGGAAGAGTCTGCTGGGAGAACGAGGGCCTGTAAGGGCAGAATAGCTGATCAGCTCCCATATTTAATTCATGACGGAGTACATCTGCTTCGTACTGGAGAGAGTTCACGACTAGACACACTTCTGAGAACTGTAAGTAAACACTTATGAGAACAACAGGAAAAAAGCATGCACACTGTCTCCGAAATGCAGACAAAGACAGCAACTGAAATGAGTAATCGAACGCCCTCTCTGAATGCTAGAACACGCTGTTTTAAAGTTTTTCAACTCAGCCAAATGTAGTCCCAGATGGCTGTGTGTGTTAGGAAGACTGCTGAATTATATTCATTAGGCAGAAGCCACACGTTTTAAGCAAATAACACACTCATGAGCATTTTTTAGCAGTACCATCACAACCTATATTCCTAAAATAAATATAGTTAATACAGCCAAAGGTTAGTATGGGATAAAACTCTACTTTGTTAGTTAAGAGCTTTCAAGTTCATAACGATGGGAAGGGGAAGTAGTGAAGCGGAAACAGGAAATACTGAACGTCTACAGAGTTAGTTGAAGAGTTGAGCCAGCACACTGTATGTGTGTGTGTGTGTGTGTGTGTGTGTGTGTGTGTAGCAGGAGAGGAGGAAGGAGCACAGAAGGCACACATGCAGTATGAAGGAGTGACTGGGATGGGTACTTACCGACAGGGCGAGCTGAAGACACAACAATGGTGGAGTGAAGACAACAAAAAAATGACAAAAGACAGACACAAACAGAAAGGACGAACAAAGAAGAAAGTGAAAAGAATTAAGAACAAAAGAAACCAAATTCAGAATGAACAATGGCAATGTGTTTTTTTCCCATTTCAGCACAGTGTTGGTCGGTGGAAACAGATTCCACAGCGGAGATGCAAGAAGGAGAGGCAAAATGCAATGTATTTCATTTTTTCACTTTATTGTTGACCAGAACCTTCAAATAAACATCATAAAAATGTTCATCTGGACTAGCACCACCCGTGCACAGGCAGACAAATTTAATGTTTATTTTTATTGTGTGAGCATGTGGACAGCTAAGAAATCAAAATCAGCACTCCTGTCTCTCCTCCGTAACTGACAGGTATCTTATTTCACATGAAGTCATTAAAATCGGGGGCTTGTCCGGGATACAATTCAAGCTATGAAATCTGCTTCACCTGCAATAATGAGGTCTATATACACAGCTCCTTGTGAAGAAGCTGAATCAGCAAGACAGAATGTGGGCAAAATAGACAGAATGGCCAAGATAAACTAGAAACTAAAAAAGCAGTTCATATTTAATGCAGTAGTGGAGCTGTCAAGGAGGCTGATGCCATATTGACATTAAGAGGGAGCAATCACGCTCAGAGTGCTGTCCTCTCCTTCCTTCCCTCCTCTCTTTCTTGAAAGTTAGCTTGAGTAAAACCCCTCCACTCTGCATCCCCACACAGCCCTTCATGGCTGAACTCTGTCCGCTTGTAAATCCCGCTTTCAAAAGGGCTGAAAATTGACGTCTGTCCCCATTGGCAGCTCCAGACCCCTCCTGAAGGCCACTGAACCCCCCACATGAGGTTTTAAAGCCCTCCACAGAGCATCTAGGCAGTTTGATTTAATGTGGTGAGAAGAGAAGGGAGACGGAGAAGAGGTGGAAGGGGAGAGAGGGAGATTATGGCGAAAAAAAAAAAAATATTAACCTTGCCCAACCGAGCTGGGCTTTTCGAGGTCGGTCTGCACCAGTAAACTGTGAAATGGTTTTGCTGGTTTGGGCTGGAGTGCCACAGTGGAACCGAGGAGATAGCGTGTTTATGTGTGTGCAGAGGGGGGGTGGGTGGCCTCCATTCTAGGGGGTGTAAATAAAAAAAAAGGATTCGCGCTCAGGGCAAGATCACCCCCCACCTAAATTACACTTCAGGAGTTCATTTGAGACCTGTCAGGAGGTTATCTCACTCTTTTAGACTGAGACTACGCCAAAATACATTACACTGTTATTGATTTCCACTAAAGGGAAAACTTATGATAGAGTCAAATAACCAAGATCAGCATAAATGCACTGTTGGGTCTCCGTGAAATACACTAATATTTGGTTTTGTTTGTCAAAGAAAAAAAAATATTAAATTAAAATCATCAAATCTGTTTTTATCTTATATATATATATACTGTATATATATATATATATATATATATATATATATATATATATATAATTTATTCTTTTTTAATGTATTTAATCTCTTTAAAGTGTTAGTTCACCCAAAACTGAAAATTAGCCTGTGATGTACTCACCCTCGAGGTATTCTAGGTCTATATGACTTTCTTCTTTCAGACAAATCCAATCGGAATTATATAAAAAATTGTCCTGCCCCTCCAAGCGTTACAATGGGGGTAAGTGGGTGCTTTTTGTCAACAGTCTAGAAAACGTGAAATAAAGTGCGTGCATCCATAATAAAACGTGCCTCACGTTGCTCCGGGGGGGTGAATAAAGGCATCCTGTAGAGAATCCATGCATTTTTGTAAGAAAAATATCCATATTTCAAACGTAATAAACAGTTTTTTTCTCACTTCTGCTGACTGTCATATGTGCAAGCCGCTCTGGCGGATGACGTAGGAAGTATGCACGCGCCTCTGAGATATGCTAGTCTCGCGAGTTTGTTTACAGGAGTAAAGGAAGCAAAGTTTTCTTATTTTAGCAAAGGAAAACCAGTCTCCTCTTAGTTTATATCAAAATCCGCCAACGTTTTTCTTTACAAATCCTGATTTTTTGCTTCTAATTTGTGACCGGTGTTTTGTTTTGTTCTCTATCTGCATTCGTCACTAATCACGGAACGCCGACATCCTACGTCATCTGCCGGAATGGCTTCCGATTATGACAGTTAGATGAAGTGAGAAAAAAGTGTTTATTACGTTTGAAATATGGATATTTTTCTTACAAAAATGCATGGATTCGCTACAGGAGACCTTTACTCACCCCCCGGAGCCATGTGAGGCACGTTTTATTATGGATGTGCGCGCTTTATTTCACATCTTCTGAACTGTTGACAAAAAGCACCTGCACCTACTCAACAGAGGCCTCCGTTTTCCCTATTGTAATGCTTGGAGGGGTCAGGACAATTTTTAATATAACTCCGATTGGATTCACCTGAAAGAAGAAAGTTATATACACCTAGGATGCTTTGAGGGTGAGTAAAACACAGGCTAATTTTAATTTTTACCTAACTAACCCTTTAAGCCCTTAAACAGAGGGTAAAATTTAGGAATCTAGCAATCAATAATTATAATCAAGAAATCAAAAACAGTAATTAGTAATCAATGATGCAATCAAAAGCATTCGACTAAGCTGATTGCATGAGTTGCTTTGAAACATTTTGATGAAATGCACATTTTTGAAGGCAACCAACCACCCTGCGAAGCTAGGAAAGTTGTCAGCAGTGTCATTTAACTTTTGTGGTAGACTTGGATACTCAACTGACCTCTGACCGTGAGGGTGGCGGACGCCTCCGTTTTGCCAACTCTGTTCTCAGCTACACAGGTGAAGGTTCCTTCATCACTTGCTGCTGCCTTCTTTATCCTCAACACATAGTCGTCTTTATCATATTTAATATCATACCTGAAACACATATATAATGGGGCAATATTACTGTATATGTAAGTACAGTAAACACTGGGGTCAGTAAGACATGAGGCCAGATTTACTAAACAGGGCAAATTAGCGTTAGTGTGCAATTCCATAAAAGCGCTGATGGGAGGGGAAAATTCTGTGGGTGATTTACTGACAAAGTGCACATTAAAGAACACAGATGCAGCATCTCATTTCCATAATGGCCAGCGCAATCTACCAAGAGCAGCGCAAATTACTGTCCGCTTTAAGACATGCTTTTTTTGGGCATGAAATAATGGCACAAATACCAGTGAATTGATGAGTGCAAATCTTAGTAAACCGCGTTGCGTGATTCATTTAAATACTCTTTACCGATCGAAAGGGAAACTCCTACAGATGTGTATTCAATAAGGTGAGCCTTTTCAGCGCTAATTTCCCATTGCGTGGGAAAGTAAATTTAGTAAATCCTGACAGTAGTTTTTTAACGCCAAACGAGGGTTTGCACTGGTAAATCTGGCCTTTGATTTATTAGATATAAACTAGATATAAAATACTTTTATTCAGCAAGGATGCATTGAATTGATCAAAAGTGCAATATTTCAAATAAATGCTGCACTTTTGAACTCAGTAAGCATAAGAGACTTCTTTTTAAAACATTAAAAAAAGTCTTACCAACCCCACACTTTTGAACAGTAGTGTGTAATACATAAGATATATTAAAATTATCAATAAATGATATAATACATAATAGCAGAACACCATTTAGAACACCATATGAGAAAAATCTGGTATATTCAGAGAAAGAGCACTGTATAGAAACACTGCATTTTTTTTTATTACTGACAGAGAAAGATCAATTATTCAACAATGACACACACTCTACAGAGAAGGAGGAGGCTTTCAACTGGAACCGCAGATGCTTCCAATATTTATGAGGCATCCGATGTGTGTGTGAGAGAAAGAAGTGGGCGTATCTGGGAGCTAATAAAAAAACCCCACAAAACAGGCCGATTCCAGGTCAGACTGTACAGAGAGGGATTTGAGATGTAGAATCCAGCCTTATTGATCTGCACCTCTCTGGCAGCTCCTAGGTACTTCAGGAGCACTATGTCCTGGAAACTGACAGCCAAAGGTGATGAGCTGTGTGTGAGCGTGTGTGTGTGTGAGGTGAAAGTGCGGTTGAGAAGTTGACAGGCCTTGCAGGTTGGTCTTCTTTGTAGTATTTTGCTATAATTGGGATTTCTGGAGAGTGTATGCGCGTCTGTGAGCAAGTGTGAAAGGGTGTTGTGCCATAGCGTTTTTTTGTCTGACAGCTAGACAACACTCTGTCTGCTGTCTGTCACTCCAGATCCACCCTTCCACAGGAAGCAGGGCTCAGAGAGCACGCCATGTGGTGCAGGAAACAGGCTGATCCCTGACATGAGGACCAATAAGACCAGAATTATACTTCTGCAGACTGTTGTTTATGAAGACAACATACAGTCAAACCACAGAATGCTTAATTTTAAAAAAGAAATAAATATTTACAGTAAAAATAAAATCCAGCCTAATTGTTTTACAATCCCCTATATAATGTAAAATTGTATAGGTTATTTTAATGTCAATATATATATATATATACCCCCCCCACATTACAGTAATAATACCGTTTTAATTAATTAATTGTAATTAATAAAACAATTTATTATATATTTATATATTCAGTAATAATACAGTTTTAATTTA